TTTCTTTTCTCTCAGTCTTAAATATGAGTGGGCAGTGAGGGCTGTGAAGCATGGAGGCACTTTTTTAAATGTCGAAAATTCCAGAGGGTGATAACAGGTCAGGACAAGTAAATCCCAGTGAGAGTTCATGCTTTCATTTTGATCAAGTCTTCATGATGATTCGCATCATATTTCTATGTGTTTGGTTAATCTGGTTGGTGTGTATGCTGAAAATCACAGGATGTTTTTTGCAGGAGGATTTGCAGAGTTTTGATTCCTCCTCATGCTCAAGCAGCATCAGGGTAGATGGCATGACCTCATCTTCTGGTTTTTATTAAAGCCATCCCCTCATCTTTTTGCTTTTTCCCCTTTTTAGGTATTTCCCATCAGCTCCAACATTACAACCAGGTTGGATAGATTTTTCACAATCCATTCTCTCCTCTACTAAACACCTCTTTTCTTCCTGCGGTCATCAAAGGTTTCTGTGGATTGGAAGCTGAAGACATAGCTTTTTTGCATTCAGAATGTTGCTGCACTTTGTAATTGATATACAAAAAGATGCTTTGATGGCTTTGTAATGTGGAAAAGAAGGAGGCGAGGTAGGATGTTCTCTCCAAACAGTGAAAACTTAATTAAAAGCTAATATATTAATAAAATGCTTGTTCATTTATATTTTATTTACTTTTTCCTCTTCTTGGGTTCAGAAAAAATAGGATTTACTCTGCCATCATCGAAAAGCTTATTAAAAGTCTGTTAATTCAGATGCTGGTTGGTTAACATTTATTTATTTTTCGCTTCTTTTAAGGTTTCGAAGAAATTTAATCTGAGTTCATATGCAGGTCCCTGGTCCTCTTGCAACGGTTCCCAACATGAAAACATTTGTTGCTAGGTACTTATAAAAAAATATGCAAATCCTTAAATGACAGACAGAGAGGCTACAGTAAGCACAGGGAGTTAATGAGGGGAGAAAACATGCACTTATTACCCCCGGTGACATTGTTAAAAGTCCCTGACATTTTGACAGTTGTTATCTACATTGATAGGCTGATAAACCACATAATGGAACGTTGTTCATTTACATTTGAGCCGCGGTGGGTGTGGCCTAAATCAGGGCAAAGCAGAGGCTTACAGTACATGTTGCAAAAAACAATTTTTTTAAGCACCTTAAATGTTTAACCAAGTCATTAATAGGGGTCTGATATGTACAACTTTTAGACTTTTAAACTTTTGCATTGAGAGATGTTCTAGTGTGTTCATGGATTTTGGTGTACAGCAATATTTGACCAGAAGTATTTGAAAATCAAGAGTACTGTAAGATCAGAAGGTGAGCTCTACTCTGCCTGCTACTGTGAGAGATAAATGTAACGCTGTCAATCATTAATCAGGTCCAACTTCACACCTTCATGCAATGTCTTTGTTGCACTTTAGAACAAAGTGCCAACACTGCATTCCCTGTGCAGCTGACACCAACCTGACACCCAATATTTGGGCTGAGTTAACCTATTTTATTATATAAGAGATAAAACAGCTTAAATCTTAGGAAACAGATCAGGATTTTAGGTAGGAGATGCTTTTAAAAGGTTTTAAAAAGTTAACATACCTTCTGCAGAAGACAGCTCTCAAGACATATTTTCCCAATATTGAATGAGTTTGCATCTGTGCTGAATCTTTAATAAATGGTGCCCTAGTTGCTCTGAAATAATGCAGACCAGCTTTGATCTCCGTTTATTTCTACTACTATGATATTGGTGCACTTTATGACAAAGTTAATGATTTACCTGATTGAATAACACTTTAAAATGTACTTTAACATTTTTTTTACACATAATAGCAAACTAACTTATAAAAAAAACAGAGTTTGGAGGTGCATTCCAAATGCTTTTTCTGTTTAAAAAGATGTGAGGCATCACCAGTCAGAGTAACTACCTGTAAGTATGACTGTTCAAAATCAACACAATTTCTTCCCCTTGAACTCTACTTTTTTTTTCTTTAGTTGAATATCAGACAGTTTCTCTGACTGGAATGACTTTGCATGAGTTATAATTAGTGTGTTTCCCACTAGAAGAGAATTGGCTGAGCATTGCCTAACATCTCTATTTTGCGAGGAAATTATATGTAAATAAATATTCCTGCATTTCAAATGTAAAGCCAGTTTCGGAGAGTAGCTGCTGCTTACCAAACATTTTCTGATGTTCAATCTATTTTAATATGGGTGAGTACCTCTTTGTTATCAGCCTCTCTCAAACAACCTAACAACCAGTCTGGGAATAAAGAAAACAGATCTAAACCAGCAGGTTACACAACAACAACTGTTAGTATTTACAATATAATGCCATTTTCAACAACCTTTTACTATCCCTTCAGCTAAAGTCAGACAAGCAACAATAAGAAAAGGGAAAAAGGAGCATGATGAAAGGAAAACTAATTTCCTATACGCATGGATGTTGTTCAATAGAGCACAAATAGTCGTCACTTTGAAAGAGTGTGGTTTATAACCTCGATGGGATAGGGATGACTCATTCCCTCTAAATGCCCAGTAAACTGGAAAAACACACAGAGACACAAAGGGGGGGTTAACTGACGAGTACAGTGAGTGATAAGCAGAGGGTTAGCTGCAGCCCCATTATGGTGACATTGCGGATAGAAGCGTTATGGCAAGGCATCTGTTGACAATTTCAGCGTTTCTGGATGAATGCAGGGCTCCTGATGTCCATTATAGAAACACTCACCAACTGTGGGCAGCTGTAAACCTCAGTGGTTTGTTTACAGTTGAGTTTGATATATATAACTGTAATCATGGTTTCAGATAAAAAGCCTCACAACAATTCCTAAAATCCTTTTGTTACCCTCTTCTTTCCAGGCTGCTTCCAGTAATGCTTATCGGTTAAGTAACACATGTCAGAGAAACGATTTTAAATACGGTGTGGAAAACTTTTCCACCTGCAGATTATAGAGGAAAAATTATTGCATGTGCAAACAGGAGGCGAGAGGGGGCGGCCACTCCTATTGCATCGCACATAATATGAAAAAGAGCATGGTGTCCTTATTATCCCTTCACACACCCCGTATGTCTGGTGAAATATTATTTCAAGGTAAGTTCAGCATATTCTAAAGTCACTAAATATATCAAACATAGTTGTAGGCATAATCAAAGGTCAATTCATCTTCATGAGTGTCTGGTAAACAGCAATACCATTATCAGCTGGAGCCTTGGCAGGGATCTTTAAGAGTTTGCATGCTGCTTCTAAGCCTGCTGTTTCCTCCCACAGTCTAACAACATGCATGCTAAAGTAAGTGCAATTTTTAGCTCATAAAACAGCCTGCTTTGCATCTATTTGCTAAAAGGATGGAGGCTGCATGCATATGTGAGTATGTGAACCTATAACTAATAAATATATTCATTTAATTATCCAAACTGGAGAATCTGCATAGGGACCTGTTTTTTTCTTTTTAAAACTTTTAATATAAGTCATTATTTGCATCATGGTTGTTATTCTAATACCTGTAGAACTGTTCTTACACTATTGCTGTAGTAAAGAAAAGAAAATCTTTTATGGATACAACAGACTGTTTGCTTTATACTTTCTAAAAAATATGCTAAATCTGAAGCAAATTGAATTCCACAAAAGTCTAATACTTGAAAGCCTGAAAAGATTAGAGATAATAACATTAGAGGCTAAGGCAACAAATGTTGCTTGAAGTCCCTAATTATGTTAAACATTTGACCATATGAGTGTCCTTGAACTTTCCCCAACAGTCTTAAACATGTAAATCTGGCTTTATTGCTTTATATCTAAAAGGAATTTCTGTTACTAGTGAAATGCAATTTGATACAGAGATGCTGACTGAACTACGGATATTAAACTCTTTCCCCTGGAAAAACTCAGCAAACAATAAAGTTTTACCAAACATTTTCCACTCTAAGAAAGAGGGTAGTTTGCTTAAGGCAAGAACATTGAGTGATTTTGAAGCCTGTAGGCCCCTTTACAATTCCATACCCATATGTTTCCACTATGGACGTATAAACAAACCATTTCATACCCATGGCATATCTGTAATGCTGTGAATTATGGAGTAATATAGTGTAATGTTATGTTTTTTGTTTTGAACTAAACATGACCTTTTTCAGTTGACTGTGGTTCTGATGTCAAACTGGAACAATTCACTTTTATCAAAATAAACATTTGTGACCCCTTTTTTTAAATCACATTTTCTAATATAATATCCAACAACTATAAAAGTAGATTAAATCACTGCTTACCTAAAAGCAGATAAACGGTATCAGATATTAATCACATGTAACCTAAGTAAATTAAATAAGCTTTTTTTTTATTGTATTTATTAAAAAAATAATAATTTAAAGTTGCTTATCTAGGATCTAATAACCGGATATTTTATCCCTTTTCAGCAACAACTGCTTTCAAATATTTGTGAAAATGATTTATGAGTTTTTTTATATTTTTATCAACATGGTTATCAATTCTTCCTTTCAATATTGTTTTTATTCAGTCACACTCTATCGTTTATGAGCATAAACATAAAATCACCATTTGAAAAATCAGAGCAATAGGTGAATAACTGGCTATACATTCTTGATTATTTATGTAGCATTTAGTCAGCTGTACACATACCATTGTCTTGTGTTTATAAGACAAGATCTGGGTCAGTCTGTAGGATTATTATGTTGCAGCAAGAAGGTTCTGGACTTAAATCCTGGCCGAGGGTCTTTCTGCATGGAGTCTCCTTGTTCTCCCCAGTGGGTTCTCTCTGGGTACTCCAGCTTTCTCTCATAGTGTTAAGTTTATTGGGAACCCTTATGTGTTAGTGTGTGTCCACATTACTGTATGTCTTTGTGTTGCCCTGCGAATCATGGAAGTGCAACCTTTTAACTTTAGCACAGAGGTTTTAAAAGTCACTGTAAACTATAAACTGATGTTAATATATTGGAGTTACATCACCAAAAGGTTGTAACACAAACAACATAATGAGGACACAAGCAACACCCTTTGTTTATCTCTCACCTTGCAGCTTTTGGCTTTCTCACGCCCGCTGGGTTGCCCTGTTTTGGTGCACGGCGAGCACGGCTCCTGGTGGTAATAATGGCATCCTTGCAAGCCTGCATAGTGACAGCAGCCATACGGTGAAGGGTAGTGCGTGTACCACAGGTCCTCAGCCAGTGGACACCTTGGGCATTGATAGAGAAGGTTTTTCCCCTGGGTTTTTTCCACGTTCACCTTGGGATTCCTCATCCATCGCCTTACCTGCACACAAAACAATAATATCAAGTTTAATTTTCTTGATTTAAGTTTTGCTTGTCTTTGCTTCTCCCAAAAACTACATACACTGTCAGCCTTGTCATGCAACTGTTTGATCAAGGTCATATGAGTTTGTTATTCTATTGCTAATTACATGTTTGCACAAGAGGATTACACAAACATACTGTACTTGAAAGATGTGCAACTATGTTCTGCCAGAATGAGAAGAACACACACAGATATTTATGAGCTACAAAGCCTGAGAGCTGTTCTTTTTAGCATTCGGTTCATAATATTTACTAGTGTAATATACCAAGCACATTTGCAGGTTTGTGCATGAGAAACAATGCACACTGCACCTAAGGTGACTCACATCTTTCACCACAGCTGCTGCCACGACATGCAAAAAAATAGCTGTGTAGGTGTGGGCATGTTCAGGCAGTTTTAGAGGAAAGAAATTGAGGAAGTGAAGCAAAAACAGAAAAACAGAAACATGTGAAAGCTTTATTATAAAAGCTTTAAGAAAACCATTCCTGCTTAGTTAGTAAACACACACCACAGGGCTGTGGCCTGTGTGATGGAGCAAGTTCAGACAGCTGAGACTCAAACACACGCACGTGTAGAGATTGAATGCCTAAAGTCAAGGGTAGCCAGACAGCATGTCAAGGCATGTTGGGTCTAGAGGAAGAACAAACCTGAAAAAAACATCTCAGCAGGTGAAAGTAAAAACAACTGAGGCAGCAGGCCAAAAACAGCCCAGGTGGCTAAAATAATAATAATAATAAAAAAAAAGAATGCAAGAATCTGCAGAAAGATATAAATATGAGACCAGGACTTTGTTTCATTGATAAATTCAAGAAAGTGTTCTGCTTAACTTTGCAATTCATTAATAAAATAAATTACAAAATCTAAATCGGAAGAACATTATTAAGGTTTTCTAAACTATTTTACACATAAAAATAACTTTTCGTGTGTTTTAGCAATATAGCTCTAGGAATAGCTGTCCCAGAGCTAGATGAAAGCCCAACAGCTTTGCTTTCACAAGCAGACCATTATGACTGTTGCCATAAGGTTTCGCTTGATACTTGTATGTTAAACTTTATTGAAAATTATTTAGGGAGTATATAATTGATAAGGAGATGGAAAGGGAGGCGAGAAAAGAAGAGGGGATAAGAACTAAGGGTATAGAGAGAGAGAGAGGCAAGAAACAGTGCATGAAAAGAGAAAATAAAAAAAGCAAAAATAGACAACAGAGAAGACATACAGTGACTCCTAGAAGATAAATAAATCTTAATAGTGTGGCGGGCATTTGTACAACAACCTTTTGCAGCAGCAAGTCCCAAGAGTATCATGTTTAAGGTGTTAATCAGACTTGATTTGGTCTTGTTATTTCTATTGATAATGAACAAACTTTTGGATTATAGGAATAACTGTTTTGTTGGCTCTTGAGACATTTTATTTTCACCTTGAATCTGCCTCGGCAGATGGCTGCTCAATCTGAGTCTGGTTCTGCTGGAGGTTTCTTCCTGTTAAAAGGGCGTTTTTCTTCTCCACTGTCGTTTCAAGCATGCTTAATGTGAGGGATTGCCTTCAAGTCAACGAGTCTATGCAAAAGACTGGTCCCCACTGAAGGAAATCATCTCCAGTGTATAATGTTTTATGATAGGGTGGTGTAAATAAACAGTGTTTTTCCTCAAGGCTGAAATTTCCACTTCTGATCTCACCTGACGAAACCACGTGTTTTCTTCCACATGTTTGCTGTGACCCTAACATGACTTTAAGTAGACTGCAATACAAACTTCTAATGGGTTTTTATCAACATTTGCTTTCTTGAAACTTTTTATGAAATCACTCAAAGCTGGATTTTGAACATATTTTAAGATTTATATTTTTAAGATTATATTATGCTCATAAGCTGTCATATCTGTTAATAGCATCCAACATAACCCTGACATTGAATTCGGCTCCAACCTTCTACAATACTCTTTTTTTTTTTTTTTTTTGTGCTGCATTTCTCTTCCTAACGAAAAGCTCCAGTATGGATGTCTAAAGTACAGCTCCTGAGCATAAAGGTTGCCATTTTACAAATAAATGGGGAAGGAAAATCTAATGCTAGGCAACTATGAAGAGGTACTTTGGCCTATAAATGTGTTCAATTGTTAAGTGTTCTAGTGCAGCTGATGACCTCTTATCCTAACCAAAACTTTTATAGTTCTATGAAAATGAATAGGTGTCTCAAACAATTCTTAAAAATCAACCTGATGCCAGTCCTAACGTGTTCTCTTTTCTGGATGAGGTCAATCAATAATGTGATTTTTCACCCTTCACTCACACCCTTAAGTTTATCCTAATGTTATATATCACTTGTCATTTAGGGTTGAGCTTCCTCAATTTTGCAATCTTTTACAGCTTCAATTCGTAACTACTAACATACTATCATTGACCTGATTAGATATTATTACACATAAAAAAAACTTACTTGCAGTTGTCAAGTGGGGAAAAAATAGATGTAATACCTTTGTCATAAACGAATAATAGCCACACCAAAATAAAAGCCATTATTTTTCTCTGGATTATTTTACTCATCATAATAAAATCTGCAAAATATGGAAGCATCACATGTCCACATGTCCTTGCCCTTAATCCTGCAATCCCATAAAAGTTTTCAGGCACAAATAGAGCAATAAAAACACATGTTTTTACTCACTTATGATTTAAATTTTTGCACCATTGTGTCTCTTAAGAAATATATTGAATATTTTTTGCACTCTGGCTCACATCTTTACCTTATTAGGCTTATTTAGCTCATACTAGAAAGCGAAACAGAGAAGGGCAAACCCTGAAAAGCAGCAAGCATTGTCTGATTTTGGGTTGTGAGCTCGTGTTTGATTGGAAGGCTTCCGGGCTTTTTTAATCCTCGCTCAGGATTGAATGCAGCCCATACTGATCGTTAAATAGATTAAAAGACAGGAAAAACATCGACTAATAAGAGAAGATAGATGATAAGACAGAATGACATAAAGACAGATTTTTAATTGTTTGTGATCTTGTTTGGTTTAAAGGCAAACATATGTATCCTGTTTACCAAGAGGATAGAATTTATTATTAAGTGGTTGCATCAGTCCACACATTCTCTACAAGAAATATTAGTTTTTTCTTTCCTTTTATCGCTTGCGGTCAGGAATCTCTGTTTGATCTCAGCGGTAAATTATTCAGATTAGGGAAAGCAAGAGCAGTGCTGCTTGTCAAGCTTTTTTATAATTACAGCATGCAGCACACTTCATCTCATCAGTTAAACAAGCCTCTGGCCAACTAATGTGCTGCCTCACTTTTTAGACAGCCAGCATCAATTTTTTTTTACTACACATTGATCTATAAATCCTTCAACCAGAATTTAAACCCCTTAAATGTAAAAGAAGATGTTTGTTTTCTATTAAACTTGCTTTGTTTTGGGGGAATGCAGGTGGCGCAGTGGTTAGCTCGCACCACCCATGTACGGAGGCCTTAGTCCTCGATGCGGCCGACCCAAGTTTGAATCCAACCTTTGGTCCTTTGCAGCATGTCTCATACCCTCTTTCCTGTCAGCCAACTGTTTGAAAAAAACGGCACTAGTGCTGCAAACTAAAAAAAAGATGAAAATCTGGCTTTCTTTTCTAATATTGTAATCCCCAAATAACCCTCCTTAACAACAAAGGGAGCTCATCCTACTTGATGACTCGGTTTAAAAAAAAAAACTAACAAGGTTTAAGAATTACATAATCCACACCTACATATAGAGTCACGATAAAATACTGCTTGGCTATAATTACAGTTAGTGAAAGCAGCTGACACAAGTAATGAGGAGGTTTATTTGTCTTTTTGTATCCTTGGTTTTGCTGAAGAGTTGTACGGTGCATTTCATCCCTTTCCTTAAAACTTCAACTAAGAAACGTATTATGTTGATTCACCGGCCGGAGGATCCATAGGATGGCCGGTTGGGTTTTCTTTTTAATTTGCAGAATTATTGCAGACTATTGCCACTGGGAATATTTTAAAGCAAAAACATTAGGTAAACAAGGAGGAGAATGTTCCAACCGTAATGGTGAGATGTTTCTGTTATGTAAAAATTTGCTTTGTGTTTTCTTTTTTTTAATGTTCATCCTGAGCATCAATTTTTTTTTACCTAGCCACCACATCTGTTTTTCCTTAAGACGTAGTTAGCCTTTTACATAAGCAGAGTTGAGAACATTTTGTGCTCTCTGGTTTAAAAAGTGCTCTTAATACTTGAAATTTCTCATATTTTTCTGCATATTTGATCAATTCTATTTAAATAATCCAACAAAAATCATGCACTTTTTAATAAATAAGGATAAACAGGTTACATTCTATTTACAAATAAGAATCTGTTTTTTTACATTTGTGTTTAGCACCTTAGGTTAATGTCTCCATACAACCCTCTATAATTACAGATAACTTTTTTTTTTTTTAGCATATATCGCTGCCAGCTTTGTACATGTAGAGACTGAATATGTTTGCCCAGAATAGCTCCCACTCAGTCAGACTAGATAATAAGCATCTCTGAACAAATCTCCAAAGCCTTGTCACGGAGTTAGATTTACATTATTCTGTAATCCAGACTTCCCCATTGCTGTTCTGCAATGGGATTGGCGGGGTGTCTTGTTGGAAAGCAAACTTCCTGCTCCAGTTATATTTGGTTTTAATAACCTGCAGTGATTACAGGCAAGAAGCAGTGTCCCCTCTATACTGAAATTTCATTCCTGCATGTTATTAAGTTACTTGTTGCATATTTAAAACACATCTTCTTATTGTTTTTTATTATCATGATCATATAAAGGCTAAACTACACTATTAGTATATTTTACTTGTTGACTGAAGCTGCTTTTGACTGGATCTTTGATGTACGGCCACATCTAGGTAGGTTTTAGTTGTCAAATATTGCTTCCATTTTACATAACAAATGTAAAAAGGCCTCTATGTGATGTTTGCATTTTTTTAAATGATGTAATACTGTTTTACATTTAAATTCCTCAACTTTTCCTGATCTGCCTATTTTGTTATTTGGTCTTCATGCTGATGTTGATCATTGTTCTCTAAATAACCTCCACACAACAGCTCCTATACTGAGATTAAATTCAACGAACATAAATTGAATAGAATAATCAAACTTCATACTACTGATTTTATTTAGCAGCATTCCAGTAAAGGGGGATAAATATGCCAAAAAGTCTTTGTAAACAATGTCTCATTTTCATTTGTCCTTTCACTGTAAAATTATTCATTAGTTTTGACAAAATTTGGGCCTCATTAATGGGGAAGTGGTGGCCCAGTCGTTAAGGCATAGAGGTTGGAATCCTGGGGTTCTGAGTTTGAGCCCCACGCCTAAAGACTGCCACTCTGGGTCCCTGAAAAAGACCCTTAGCTTCCAAAGGGGATGGGTTAAATGCAGAGGTAAATTTCTCTAATGTGAGATCAATAAAGTTCAATTATAATTTTTTAGATAACGACTTTTGATGGCCGTTGAGAGGAAAACCTTTTGGCTTGTTTGTGCTCCTAACTAATCAGAATATCATAAGCTTATAATAAGAGTGTCTCTGTATTAATGTAAATGACACCATATTAGACAGTTCATATTATTTGCTAATCTTAACCTTTCGAGTTATGCTAAATAATTACTCAGAAGCCTCATTGAGCAGCTTGAATATTCATTAAAACCTGCTCCATAGGAAGTTTTATGTGTGCTGACTCACCACAAGGTATTTTTCTGCAATGTGAATGCTCATCCATTGAAGAAGTAATAAAAACAAGTAGATAACAAAAGGCAATACATGAATTGAAAAAATTGTCTTTGTGACAGCACAGCAGCATCGTGCTCTGAATGATCCAAACCAGGACGAACTGAAGGATTTTCACACTTAATCCAACAGCTTTTGGTTTTAGACTCACACAGACACACACATGTGGGAAGAAATACTATAATGCACACAGACATGGAGGGAATCTGTTCCTCAGTCTGATTAGAGTGGCTTTGCTCTCACTATGACATCATCTCTGGCACTCACACACAAACACGCTGACACACAAACACTGCATGTGAAGGTGCATGAAAAGGCAAACTGACAAAAAAAGCTCACCTTTCTCTTGACAAACTGAAATGCCGAACACTTCTTAAAGGAGAAAGCAGTTTTCTCTCCTCCTCCCACACCTCCGCCTCCCCCAGCACCTCCTCCTCCGTTAACCATCTTCATGGCCGACACCGGCACCCCGCTTGCCTCCGTAGATCCCAGGATGACAGGAAGGACTGTGGTGGAGCAAAGGGGAGAATGTTTAAAGAGAGACACGTCAAGGAACAAAATACTTTGTGTGGCAATAAGAAATAGGATGGAGGAGAGAGAGACAAGAGTAGGTGGAGGAGGCATTTGAACCAAAATGTGAGGGAGGGATGCAGGATGCTGCAATTAGAGTGGAATAACTACAGCAACAAATCTGTGAAGAGATAGGATAAAAAAATGGAATGAGATTAATGGTCAGAAAGATGGAGATTTATGGAGAAGATGAAACAGACTTGTTTACAAGTTTCATTACACTTAAAGCATGTCTAGACTAAAGTTTTTGCATCTTTTTCCTTAATGTATCACTAATAAAGTGTCGTCACGTCTGCCTCCATCTGTACCTTGATGCTGTTGTCTCTGCTGATGCCGCTGATCCCACTGCAGCCTTTTTTATTTTTAAGAGTCCCGAATCAGAAGCTGTAAGTCCCCCCGTCAGTTACAGGTGTCCCTTTTAGTTTCCTTCCTCACTCATCTAAAGTCTTCATTCCCAAAGGAAAACCGGAGAGAAGAGACGAAGAGAGTCCGTGAACAGGACGTTGCTTAATGACAGCATGTCACTGATATGTGTGTGTGTGTGTGTGTGTGTGTCATCAGCAGAGCAACAGCTTGAGATGCACTGTGGGTGAAAGCTCAGGAGGTGTGTGTGGATATGTGGGTGGGTGATGAGGGGAGGATGATGTGTCCAGTTGCAGTGCTGCTACTTTATCAATGAAAGGCTCTGCAGTGAGAAGCTGCTGCTTCTCCTTCTCTCCCTCTTTCTCTCTCTCTCTCTCTCTCTCTCTCTCTCTCTCTCTCTCTCTCATCCAGCCTCATCACTGTTCCCCACCCTCCCCATTTACCCCGTTCACCCATCATTCCGCTGCAGTCGAGGATAGCTCCTCCCATTTTCTCTCCAGCTATCAATCGCCTTGTCACACCCCATTCTTCTGAGATTTTCTTTATCTTGGTAAAAAAATTGTCCCACTGAAAGGCTGAGGAGGGGAATGAGACTTGTATTTTGTCTGCACTCTACAATACCTCTGCAAAGGCTTAACACAGAACATTTTGATCATGTTTTATCTGATTTGCTCCAGCACGGTTTAAGCTCTTTCCTCTGGACCTGTAGGATTCCATATTCTGGCTGTGCAAATTACAGGAAGTGCTGTATTTTTCTTTTCTTTTCTTTTTTTTTTTTTGTTGTCATCCTAAAAGTTTGTTGTTGTTTTTTTATTTAAACCTAGTTTCTTCCTTAAGTCCAGGTTCAGAACTCTTGACACATGGAAACATGGACACCTATACAATTTGAATAAGCCTTAAAAACGCATAATCTTATCTGCTTTATATATAAATACTTATGTATCATTAAATAAATTCTGAATAAATTTATGCTCTTCTTAATGATTATTTGAAAATCTTTTTTGGCTTCAATAAGAATGCTACTTTTCAATGCAGACCTTTCTTTTAAAATGTTTTTCACTAGTATTGTTTAGAATATATTCTTGGTAATAAGGTCCAGGTCTTTGAGGTTGGTCTTGTATCACTTTAATACTAAATAGGTATTCTGTGTTAGTTCAAATGCAGCAGCAAAAAATGTTTCATTTACAGTTCAGTCTATCCTGACAGAGAAATCTGGAGATTGATTCAAAGTTTGGGACTTTTGCGGCATGTGTGGTCCATTTTCTCTCTGTGTTCAAAACCCCTTAGAAACTAAAAGCCTTAAAAAAAATAAAAAAAAATTTGGTAAACCTACACTGCAAGAGAACTGAAATCTAAAGCCATTCTTTCTTAAAATAAGTGCATTTTTCTTAAATTGAGGAGTTTAGTGAGACACTTTGCCAATGGAGCAATTTACATTTAAAATAAGAAAAAAAACGATTGCGTTGTCCTATTTCAAGTGCTTATTATCTAATTATCTTATTTTAAGAGGAAAAAAATAATTCCACTGGCAAATCATCTTATTTACCTACTCAAAGGTAAATACACTCCTTTTGAAAGAAATTCTCACTTATTTCTAGATTGCTTTTGCAGTGATAAAAAACAAGTCACAGACAGTTTGAGCAAACAGATGATAAATAATCTTTGAGTGTAAAGGAGTCTGAGCCTTTTTCTCTTAAACATCCCACATAAATAAAACAACTCCTCATGTCCAGGCTTTGTATAGCTTTGCAGCTGTGGGATGGCCAGAACTTTGCCTTCTGTGTGGAAAATAAAACCAAATGGATACTCAAATGAAGTAATAAAAAGGAAATCAAATTCTCACACCACTAGAGCCCTAATCACCAGAAGGGGCGCTGTACCAAGGCTGCAGTGGTTTCAGGGAGACATCATTAAATTGGTGCCACTAACATGGGGAGAGTCTAAGTGAAGTATGTATATGTAGGAGTTTTTCCCTGCAGCTCCTCCTCCAGAGGTACTTGGGGCTTGCTGGATACTTCCCTGATTATTGCTTTTGCTGCATTGCCTGTCAGTTTATGTTGAGCAAATCACTTTGTAGATTTACCGGTACAGCTGTATCATACTCCTTTGACATGGTTGATTAATTGGTTCTCTTTCAGAAAAAAGGCATACAATAAATAATCTAAAGCATATGTTTCTTGAGATGGAATAAATACATTTTTATCATTAGGTTAATAGGAAAAACCCTATTAAAGAAAACAATGACTGAGTAATGATCTGCTAATTACAGTCTGAATTAGGGCATTAGATGGAAAATGATCTGTGACTCAGCAGCACTTACATAATACTTTGGATGGCAAAGTAAGCAGTGGACAGCACACACATAATAAATAGCTTTTACTGGCAGAGGTTAAGGGTTGAATGACCAAACTGTCCTCACAAATCCTGCAGTGTAAAGGTAAGGGTAGATAGCTTTCTAATCAAATATCAAACTTATTATGGAGAAGTTTTATTATCTCCTATTCATAATTTAATGTCGTCATTTGCTTCAACTTAGACCGATATAACTTCGTTCAATGTTGCTGAAACAGAAAGACATAAACTCTGCTATTTTATTTCAGCATCATATAAATAACAAAACATTTAAAATGTAAATTCATGAGGCAACTTTAATAAAGGAAGAAAAGGGTAAACTTCAGCAGAAAACATTGGTGAAATGTTTTACTAAATCTGTTCAGAGGGATAAAAAGAAAAACAACCTAGTTTGCCAAAACATCTCATCATTGAGCTCTGAGGACTGTGAGGTGCTCTCACATAGTCTGACAGCAGTACAGCCTTACATAACCTCAGCAGACTCTCTCTCAACTGTATAGCTGCATCCACATGAATAATTCTGTCTAAGAAAATGTTCATTGCTGCTCTTGTGAAATAAGAGAAGCAGCTTCAGAATGATCAATTAGATATTCTCCTAAGTCATATGGATCAATGACAAAATCTTCTGCATATTCATTAGTTGTGTTTGATTAAGTTTTATATATTACCAGAACTTCATCAAAAACAAAGAATCTAGATAAAAACTAGTTCTTTTATTCTTTATATTTACTCTCATGCTTAAATCCAAGAACTTCCAACCAGAAACCAAGTTTTTTTTTTTTTTGGTTTGTTTTAGCCCTTATGATTGGCAAAAATTGTAATCTGAGACTGCTAATGAGCTCCACTGGGTATGCTCTTATCACATTATGAAAATCATATAGCTAGGGATTGAAAAACTGCAAATTTTTCTCTGCCTTTTAAGTAAAATAAAATAAAACAGAACAATCCTTGATAAGTTGTTAACATAAAACATGAAAACTGTTTTAGTACATTATTAAAACATTTCTTAGATAATCATATAGCCTATATTAGTTAAGATAATGGTACAAAAAAATATGGTAAATGGCCTTTACTTGTACTCTATAGCACCTTATTTAGTCCAAGGATCACAAAGCACACAAGATAATCAGTCCTTTTCCCATTCACACACACTTTCACACATGTACAAGGAGCTACAATGTAAGTACAAAGCAGCTACGTTGTACTGTAAGCAGAATACAACTACATTGTATTTACAATGTAGCTAGATTGTGAGTACGATGTAGCTACATTGTAAGTAAGATGTAGCTAAATTTTAAGTACATTGTAAGTACATTGTAGCGACACTGTAAGTATGATGTAGCTACATTGTACGTACAATGTGGCTACATTGTAATTACAATTCCAAACTTTCTCTATGTAAAATTATTATTATAAGTTGTTGTTTTTTTCTTACAAAATAATCAAGAATGGAGGTAGTGCGCTAACAACAGTCTCGTAGAGTAGAAATTCTTGTGAAGACAGACACATTTTCACTCAGAGAAACTGATAGACTTAAAAGTAAGCTTGTGTGAACATTTACAAAAATAAGGGTCCCTTTGACACTATAACATTGGGGATTATTTATAGCACTTTACTTTTTATGTCAGACACTCTGCTGACTAGAAACCCTTTATATGTTGAAGTCTCACTGTGTTTTACAAAGACAGATCATTAGATGCACATTGCCTCGTCCTCAGTTTATATATAACTTCAGTTCTATGGTTTTTCTCTTTGGCTCTGAGCATAAATTACTCCTAATTCCAACGCCTCTTTGATTGCAGATCATCAGATTAAAATTGCATCGCCTCACCGAGGCTTGAGTC